AAAGCTATGGCATATTCAGAAAAAAAAAGTGATGGGCTTAATTGGAGGAAGTGTAAATGGCAGAATATGAATATATCTCTTGTTATTGCAACAAATCTATAATATATAATTCTCTTATAAAGCCACCTTTCCATTCCAGAAAACCCATGAGCCGTTCTTGCCTCAGAGGTAGCACGTAGAAAGTTTTCCTACACCCCCACCACCCCCCTCCCCCCAAATTAAGGGTTGGAGGGCAATTCTTGATTTCTTCATTGGAGATGTTAAGCACTAAAGTTGCTCAACTTGTCATTTTTATATGTAGTTCATGCATTTTGATATGCTTTTGTTGAATGATGTAATTAAATTTCTAAAGAGAGCTTACTTCAGTTCACTAATGGGGGGCAGTAGGATTCAATTAGCTGCTGACTCATTCATCCAAATGCTGAGTTATATGAGATTTACACAGTAACTGCGTGAATGATGCGGGAGACAAGTTGAATCTTAAGCTTCCTATACTTGGACTGAAGGGAGCTCCCTTTACTGTTTTCTTTTCATTTATTCTAGATTCAGTTTTATTCAGTCCTATAGTCTCACAGAAGGTTTAAATGGTACTCAACTCAATAAGTCATTCAGTTACATAGCAACCTGAAATATATGCCTCATCCAGTCATTTTTATCCTCCAACAGTGTAAATTTAAGGGCCTTTTGTCCTTGTCTAAGGAGTATTGAATCTTTAAATATTGGTTTAGTTAGGGTTCTTGCAAGCTTTGTCTCAAAACGGGATATGCACAATGTCTAACGGTGCGCAGGAATACTTGGTATCCTGTCTTACTTTCTCCTAAGGCTTTCGTCTCTCAATCTCATTGTCTAGCTAACACTGCTTCAACTGTTGTTGTCTTCATTTTGTAATTTCTTCATCACTATGACTACTAACAAAATTGTTGCCTATATATTTCTTGTTCAGCAGGTAAATTTATTGTTAATTTGCAGAATTTTATGAGCATGGTCTGGTCTCTCAACTTGGAATCCAGCAGATTTACGGTTTCTCAAAAGCTCGCGCTCAACGGCAATGGTTTCTTGGGGGTTGATAAGTTTATTGCAACAAGTTCCTAGACATGTCGTCTGGTCCCTTCAATTACCAAAATATCCTCAAGTGCTGGCTGCTTTGGCTTAGATGGAATCTTTATGTTAATTAATATGGATTCCAATTTTTTTTTTTCTGCCTTACATATTTTTGTTTAACAATCTTTTGATGAAGATATCAACATTAGGGTTTCCATTTAAAAGTTGCAAAGGATCTTTTTTTTCAGGAGAATATGTATTAGTCCGTATATGGGTCTGTTGAATTCAAGCACAACATATATAGTGCAATAATAAAAAATTAATCGTATCAATACGATTAATCTCGTGTATCAAATGCATTGAATGTACATATTAAGCAAAGTTATAGAAATTTCCTATGATATGTGCAAATAAGATAATAGAAAACGATCTCTCTCTCTTTTTTCATTTTTTCCCCATTAATATCTTATATTGTATATTCCATCTCAATCCAATGATCTATAAAGATATTAAGAACTAAATTAAATGATACTCTTTGTTTAAATAGTAGAGATTTCTCTTGTAATTAATTTGTGGCTTGAGAGTAATTAATTGGGTTTATAGTGATTTCGAAAATTTAAGAAAGTTTTAAATTTCTTCTTAGCATAGGGCTTAGGATAAGCTATGAAGCATAGCAAAGTAGTCCTGCCATTGATCAAGTTGAACCAAAGACATACATATAAAGAGAATGTTTAATGTTGAACATGTATTAATGTGCACGATACTAACCCAACATTTGATACCCATTCTCTCATCAAACTCATTTTTAACTATACATTTTATCAATTTTTATCAAAATTTACTTAAAATCTAATTTTTTAACTAGACCAAATTGAGACAAAATGAAAGCACCGCGTTACGGTAACGTGAGCATAACAAAATTTCGTTATCCCTAACACTACCGTAATGATTATAAAAAATCAAGAAAGATTTAAAATGAGTTAAGAATGAGTTATGATGCATCACAAATTATTTCATTCCATTTTTCAACTAGATTCAACTTTGTTATACGACTTTTCATTTACTTTAACCATTAGATCCGCGATCTGGTAAGCCATTGTATTTCTACACTCGTTTGAATCACCACTAAGAGAGATTTTTTTAGAATCTTTTAATGAAACCCTAAAAAATTGTAGCTTAATTAAGGGAAAGACAGAAAGCATAATTAAAAATGAATGAAGTGGCTTCTTTTTTTGTAGCACACACCAGACCAGAGCAGAAAAGGTTCCTTGTGCCTCTTCTCCTTCCCCAGCCAACGATTGACAGCTGCCCGTCTGGTCTTGTGGTTTCTCCTTTCCCTAAAGCATCTTTGAATGGATACTGCATAGACACACACACACACAGACTTCTAGAAAATTAGCAAAATACTAAATTTGGATGCTTAACAAAGGATATATATCCTTGTCATGTATTTGAAAAGCTTGAAAAGAAAAAAATGAAGGGTTCTGATAGAATTTTTAGTATGGCCATAGTTTTTCTCTGTATTTTCTGAGATGGTCTGTAAAATTATGCTCGTCTTAAATGAAATAGAAATATGGTCAACTTTCATCGATCTCCGTTTGTTCATGTGGTTTTTCTTAAGACAAAATGGCAAATAAAACATTATTCTAGACATAAATTTTCATTCATTATTTTTGTTGGTGAAAATTATTGTGGAGAAAAAGAATTCATAAAAAAATTCGAAAGTATTTGTTTTATTTTATTTTTGGAAATCGGTGAAGGTAATGCCAATCACTTACAGAATTTCAAATTTATTATCCAGTCATTTTCATCGTAATTATTTTTATTACTTTATTTACCAACAAAAACTATGTTGGCCATCTTAAATTATTTTCTGTAATTCTATTTTATTACCGACAGAATTTTCAATAGGTAGTATTTATTTATTTTTTACTTTATACGCAAAAATTTAATAAGATATTTTTTAAAATTATTTCCCACGGAAAACTCTTTCAAAATATTCTTTATTAATTATTTCATTGTCATTTGTTACTAATGGCTATTCTCTCGGCAATATTTATTATTATTATTATTATTACTTTTTTTACAAATAGAATGTTCGTCTATTATAAAGTAAATATGTTAAAACAATTTATTTATTTATTATTGACAGAAAATTCTTAAAAAGGACGAAATCCATTGATAAAGCTATATGGAATGGAAAAATGAGTCCTCGTCAATACCGAAAACATAATCATGTTGTTAAAATTATTTGTTTGATTTTTAAATCTGAAAGTATCAAACCATCTTGATTTTTCTCATAATAAATCAACAGAGGGATTCAAGAAACCTCAAGCTAACCCACAAACTACTAGTGAAGAGCACAAGAATAATTGTCTACCCCAAAATCTTATGCAATACAAGAAGGCTGAACTTTCTCATTTTTGTACGAGATTGATTGTTTTTGAAATAATTCGTTGAAAAAAGTAATTCAGCATCTCAACGGTGACATTCAGCATGATTCAATCATCTCTCATTGATTCTTCTTGCCGTGCCTCTTTCAATACTTGAACTCTTTCTTCTATATCAAGAATCATCAAAATAAGCAAGAATACTATTTTTACGAAAAATGTAATTTATCGAGTAGTCTTGAGTACTCTAGAACCCTCAATGATTTGGTAGGTTGAGAAAGATTGATCACGATTTGATTTTTGACTGCCTATGCTTTTTGCGATGCTTTGGTCAAATTGTAACTAGGGTACTCTACGCCCCCCTTGCTCTCACCTTCGTCTATGCTGCCTCCACTCCTGCTATTACCATCATATGTGCTAGTGAACAAACTTCTCATTTCAAGGTCGCGAAAAGACAACTGCACTGCTCGCTTCATTGAGATGCCAGCAGTGCTCTCACTTCCAATGAACTTCGTTGCCCTTTTGACAAATGGCATCATGAGATCAAAAACAGCACCATCACATTGGATGTACGACAAGATTGAGATCATCAACAACCCTTTTAACTTTAATTTCTATGCTGACATCGATGATTGCTGGTTTTATCTTTGTTGGTATGCTATGCTACTTAGTTTTCTATATCACCAGTGACCAAAGTTGTATCTTATACACATTCCATCGTGTACATTCTTCTTGTTTCAATAAAGAAGAATTCTGTACTCGATCTTAAATTTATTAAACGCGAATATAATTCAATTTTGGCTGTGATTTGACATAATGTGCTCCAAACATAAAATCCAAGTGAGATATGTTTTGTTTTATGCTGTAGGACCTAATGTTCCAACAGTTTCGATAAAGCTTTAAGACAGGAAAAAATAAATAAAATTTTTATTTTTCTATTCCCAATGTCTTTTCAAGTATCGTTTGGAAGATCTTGAACAGTAGTAGTAATTTATTTCTAATGTATATATGTCAACAGCGGCCAATTAATTTCTATTGCACTTAATTTCACTCTCTACATTAACAGCGTTCTATTAGTTATACTTAATTATATATTGTTCGAAAAAATTTATTTGATTTGGAGTATGAAGGGAGGAAGACTAATGGATTCATAGCCTCTTCTCTACTAATAGTTTTTCGAGTTCTCTATTATCCATCTTGAGCATCATTGAGAGAAGTTTAATATGCAAAATAATTCTACCCTTAGATAAATTTACTAAATTTGCCAAATAATTTTGATATAACACCTTATAGTTTTGAGCTTTGAAATTTAGTTTGAAAGGAAAAATATAGCCCCTATTTGGTTCTAATAAAAATTAGATTACTGGTAATTTTGATAAAAGTTGGTGAAATGTGTGACTGAAAAGTTGATAAAAGTCTTTTTTACGCTAAAAAAAAGGAAGAAAAAAAAGAAACATGTGATTGAAATTGAATTTTATAAAAAATGAGTTTCGAGAAATGGGGGTCAAACAGGGACATAGTCTAGAACAATATGTAATTTTATTTTATTTTTGGTCCAAAACAAAAGAAAAAACGAAAATAAATTAGTTATGATTCAGATTGCAGATTTATTATATAATATATACTGATCCATTTATTACACATTATTTGTAATTGACAACATGAAAGAGAGTTGCATAGCTTAGTAATTCAATCTATGACCAACAAATATGCAGCAGCAAGACTCGAACCCTTGAAATTTTTAGATGGGATCATTAAGTCCTGCAAGGCCGCAGAAAAGATAAGGGAAGAATATATAATCAGCAGATATACATCAAACCATCACCACATTTTTGATAGGCTGTACTGATCAGGATTCGGAAGTATGACAGATGATTCGAGTTGCTTTTTGAACAATACACAATACTGGACAGTCTATCTTATCAAACAAGCTATAAAATATGTTCATTGAAGGGAAAATCAAGAAGCAACAAAGGTAATAAATGTTCTTGGTTTTGTTCAGTTTGTTGCCTTTAAACTCCTCTTTTTACATGGAGAAAATATTTTTTTAGGGAATACATTAACCTAATGTGTAAATGTGCAGTGCAAGTGAGAAAGTAAACTTTATTTCTAGGATAAATAGATATGTACAAGCTTTAGTGCACAAAATCTTTCACTCACTCTTACATATGTGCGGGTCCCAGGTGAATTTTAAAAATGACGACTTGTGATCCCCACCCTTTGTTATGAGTAGTGAGTAAACCATTTTGTAAAAAGTGTGAGTACATGTAGACTTGTCCTTAGTTCTAAAGGTTAATGAAGCCTTTATTACATTTTAACATACACTTCGCTAAAAAATTTGAGCGTATTTCGATCTACACATGACAATTTGTCAACTCCGTATTTCAACAAAAGCAATATTACTTTTCTTTTTCATAAATTAATGAAAATGACTAGCATATAAACATAACGATAAAGAAAAGGGAAACAAGGCAGGTAGTGTACTTGGGTTCTCAAGAAGATCCCAAAAGCTTCTTTATATCTTCCTGCAAAAGAAAGAGAAATGGAAGAAGTAAAATAATCAACCACATATAATTACACCTGCTAATGAGTGTTTTGAGATTCAAAATTCACATTGAAGAAATTCAAAAATATCTTGAGCGTTGTCAAACCCCATCTTTGATTCCTAATTTCTTTTCCATGTTGTAAATGGCCTGGCCAAGATCTAGCAAGGCCGTGCCGGTCTGGCTCTCCAGACCTCCGACTGAATCTTTATCTTTTTTCACAAAAACATAAAATTAAACCACTGTTGGGCCAGGCCAAAGGGTGGTGCCTGGCACAGACCGCTTCACAGCTCTAGAAAAATAACAAGAATAAAGGAAAGAAATAAAAATAGTCCTACCTCAATTTGTAGAGGAGACGTCCTAGGAGCGTATCTCTCCACAACTTTTCCTTCTCTGTTCACGAGAAACTTTGTAAAATTCCATTTGATTGCATCTACAAATAATCCACCCTTTTCCGACTTTAAGAACTTGTAGAGGGGTGCAGCATTCTTTCCATTGACCTCAATCTATAATATCATAGAAGTTATTCCATCAAAAGTTTCATCGAGTGTATTCCTTGAGCGAAGAGTCTATAGCAATATCAGAACTCAGAAGCAGCATAGACGGGGAACAACATAGAGAATGTTTGGCTGAGCATGGTAAGTAAATCAAACTTTCTTTCGAGTGACAAATTTTCAATGCATGTTGTGGAAAATTTACATTTTTCTTACTGTACGTCTTCAAGTAGCCATTGGCATAAATTCCCACAAGACTAAAGTTTCAAGCATTTACAAGGGTCACATATCATGAATAATGTAACCAATTTCAAAATTTCTTGAAAAGAAATACCTTGTCAAATATTGGGAATTCTGCCTTAAATCTAGTGCATGCAGTTTCCTGAATTTCCTCATTAGTTCCAGGTTCTTGCCAAGCAAACTGATTGCAAGGAAATGCTAGAATTTCAAAACCTGAGAAAGAATTCAGCATTGGCTTGATGACCTCAGAAAGTTACCAAGAGAAGATAAATAGGCATTAGCCTTAAAAATGTCACACAAGAATGGTTAACAAACCTTGGTCCCTGTACTTCTCGTACAAAATGTTCAATTCTTTGTAATTTGACTGTGTTAAACCACTGTAAAGAGGGAGATACAGAGCACGCACTAAGGTTCAGCAGATTTAAATTATTACATTTTTTAACTTATACAAGACGAAGAATAGGCATAGATAAGGAGAAAAGCACTCGGAGAAACTTGAAATTAAATTAACCAAACAAAACTTACTTAGCCCCCGTTTGGCCCCTTTAAAATTCTTCAATTTAATTTAATTTTTTCTTTTTCCTACTTTCAACCACACAATTTTCAATAAAATAATATCACATTCAAATCGAAAACTTTTCAACCACACAATCTTCAAAAAAATAATATTCCCCCCATCATAAATCCAAATAATGAGGCCAAACGGGGGCTTAAAAGTAATTCTTTTGAAAAATTATGTCGAGACAAACCTTTCTAAAGAAGTTACTTCTACGCTTAGACAAACAGCCAACCATGTTGCTTTTCACGTACCATTTAGAAGCAACGTTCACTATGAGAAGAACCTTCCCCTCGTAAGAGCTCAGCGGCACATCGTCTCCATGAATATCCTGTTCTTTAATTTAATGAAAATCCAGGTATGCAATAGAATCTTGGCAAAGAACACTAATAAAGTCAAATCTTGGAAGATCTTGGAAGGGGGAAATGCAAAATTAGAAATCAGATCCCTTTTTGGAATGGAACTCCAAAGTTGAGCAAAATCAACAAAAATTATTAACAACTAGACAAAAAATATTACTGATGTATTGATGAGAACTAGTGTAACGAGAACTTGTCATCAATTGGACTGATCTAAAATTTTGTTGTTTAATTCATAACTAACAAATATATTAAAATAAAGAAGCCGTCAACAATACAAAAATTCACAATTGAAATTGTTAATTGCTTACATAATTATATAATCATTTGCTGATGGAAAGAACCAACAGTTGTTCACTTTAACAATGGTGTTGACATTAAGGAACTGCAATTATGACCTTGAAATAATTTTCTTTGTTTCATTATCATACGTGCAAGAGAAATCAACAAAAGTTCAACAGAAATCACATATTTACTATGTAAAGTTGCCTATAATCGATCAAAATTGTAAAAATCATCGAAAATTGACATAGATTATAACAAATTTAGGGTTTTGTGCAAAGAAAAAATTAGAAAATAATACAAAGGAATTTAATTTATAAATATTTGAGTATCTCCATTGGTGTCGACAATGATGATTGACGGTGTGGCAGTGATGAGTAGGTTAGGGTTTGGTTGGGCTGAATCCCATTTGGATTTTGGGAAAATTACAGAAATTATGTGTTTTCAAGATTTCAATTCATACCATTCTTTCTCTTAACAACTATATTTTCCATTCTCATTCTCGCGAAAATAAAAAACAAACGCGGCCTAAGAGTTATAAATTTTTCTTTCAAAATAAAACCACGATCAAAAGCAGAACCAAAAAATCTTCGATTGAATTAATTACACCCATACCTTGACAGTGAAATCGTAAATGGATTTTGGGGCTTGTTCTTGTTCAGACATAGTATCAGCAACTTGATATCTGTAATAAAACAGTAAGGCAATTCCAAAAACGCTAAGAGATGCCCAATAATCCAAGATTATAAAACTCGAGAAATTTATATTCAACTTGGGTATATAAATTCAAAGCTTTGCTGGAGAAACGGGACTACGGGATGTCATGTGATGTTTACTTCATCCGCCAGCGCCGTTGGTAGTTGAAAGAAATACATCTACTAAATGATTGGAGTAAACATTTTGACATGTTTCTAGAAGAGCTTACGGAGAATCAATTAAAAACTCAAATTATGGGTCCTGTTTTGACTACACTACCTTCTATTGATAGAATAATGCATAAAAGCCTTTTTTGAATTTTTGGCCCTTATCGTATTCACATTTTGTGTTTTTTTAGACCAATCTTTGAATTTTGACAAAAGCAAAACTATATCAACGTTTCATTTGGGAAAATGATCATTTCCGTGCACAGCCATTTAATGCTACCTTGTAACAAAATGTTGTGTGTACTCGGAGGATAGGGGCAGAACAAGGTGACGTCAACTCTATGATATTCTACAAAATTTTTGTAACTTTTTTATCAAATAGAAAATCGATGTCTTCCTTAAAAAATATAAAATGCTAAAAGTATGATAGATTTAAGCAAATGATATATATCTGCTAGTCAAAAAAATATAAAATAAAATAAAATAAAATCTAATTTGTACACTTATTATACGCGAGTACCAAAAAACTTTAACAACCTGTAATTTCAAACAATTGAAATTTTGTCCCAAAAAAATACAATATAAATAATGAGTGTAAGTCATTGATCTCAAAATACTATTTTAAATTAACATCATTCTCTATACCAACTAAAGTGGGAAAATCAACATGAAATATCAAGAGTCCAAAGAAATTGGATTAATTTAATATCCATATTCGGCTCGCTTCAGTAATATATACTTATAATAATATTAATTTCTAAGAAATAAGTTTTTAACATATATCTTTTTCACTTGTAAAATTAAATATAGAGCAAGTTACTTATTTTGATATATATATATATAATTAACATCATTCTCTATACCAACTAAAGTGGGAAAATCAACATGAAATATCAAGAGTCCAAAGAAATTGGATTAATTTAATATCCATATTCGGCTCGCTTCAGTAATATATACTTATAATAATATTAATTTCTAAGAAATAAGTTTTTAACATATATCTTTTTCACTTGTAAAATTAAATATAGAGCAAGTTACTTATTTTGATATATATATATATATAAAATGATATATTCTGTTAAAGAGAGTCCTTCGCTTAAATTGCTTTGAATGGGTAAATCAATCATTTGTCCTTGAGGGTCCGACATTAAGCCTCTCATACCTACTAATTGATGTACCTGAGATGCATTTCCTCTAGCTCCCGAAAAAGACATTAGATGAACTGGATTAAAGGGGTCAGTCATCCTAAAATTAGGATTCATTTCTTGTCGCAAATATTCACTTGTAGCATACCATATATATATAACTTAGTCAAACATACATGAAATAAGATATCTAATTTTTGATGGGTTAATATGGTTAATTTGGGAGAAAATTTATAAATAAGAAATTAAGTATGACATATTTCAAAATTAAGGAAATAAATTTCAAACTTCAAAAATCAGATTTTTATTAAAATTTATTTATCATTAAATTAATTAATTAATTATATTTAAGTCACATATCTATACAATTTGGTCACAGATTAATAATTTAATTAATCACTTATTTTTTGTTGGTCACAAATCAGAAATTTTATGTCACATTATTTTATGATCATAATTCGAAAAATTTGTAAATCACAGTTTGTTCATCGATCACAAATAAAAAATAATTAATTAGTCACGGATTAATTTTTAGTCACAACTTATCAAATTATTTGTCACACCCTATTTTTTTGTCACAAATCAAAAAATTTATAAGTCACATATTATTTTTCACTCACGAATAAAAAAAATTTTAGGTTACAAATCAAAAATATTATAGGTCACAACTTATTAGACAGTCACAAATTATTAATTTTTTAGGTCACATATTATTCTTTGATCACAATTTATCTTTTTTATTGGTCATATATTATTTATTGTTTACAGATTAACCAATTTAATGGTCACAGTTAACCAAATAATCTGTAACCAACACTTGTGACCACAACCACCTACCCCGACCATGACCACCAAAACCACTGTCGACCCCCATTGCTAGATCCACTGCACCGAGCAGCACCTCCTGTTGCACCATCACAAACCTCCACAACACTTAGCACCAAGGTAACCTATCACCACCGTACCTAGACTGGAGAAAAAAACCACTCCAGAAAACCCATCACGATTGCACCCTATCTTCCACCCACCCTGTAACACCACTGCAAACACCATCACCTCAAAACCATCGCTGTGAAACACCCAATCTCCACCCACCACACAACCATTAACACCACATTCACCGCTGCCAAACCAAATCGCCGACTACAGCCGTCGGACCACCATCTTCCCGCAATCATGAGTCGATTTCCACTACCACCACCACCACATCTACATCACCTCTAAAATCAAAACACCACCATCACCACATTCACCCTAGATATCCACCAAATCACTGACTGCAACCGTCGGACCATCATATTTCCTACAGTCACAACTTGATTTCATCTAGCTGCTGTCGCCACCAAGATCTCCACGACCACCACCTGATGTTATTGGCTTGTTACAATTATTTTTTCTTTTTTAAGATAAATGTAAATATTCTATTAATTAAAATTTATGTACAAACACACTGAGCATACCTGAGTAAAACAAAATATAAGATGTATGATAAGTGTATTTCAAAGCGTTAAAATGACAATATTTAGTTGCTTCTTGAATGAATTATGATCTAAATTATTACATTTTGTGTTAAATAGGTAAAATTCAACGACGGTACAAGGTATTGAAGAAAGAAACAAAAGTGGCAAAATTGGAGAAAATGGTTAAGTTGTAAGAGATTCAAAGATCGGGGACTAAAATGCAAATACTCCAAAGTTGTGTTGGACCTCATGATGAAAATTTAAGAGTGCTCAAAGTCAATTGGATGAAGAAACATGTCAAAGGGATCAAATTTAGGCAAAATATGATTATAAATCAATTTCTAACTGAAAAGTTATGCTCCGGAATTTCAGTCCCACATTGAGACCCTTTTTTACATAACAAACAATCGAATTGGAGAATAATGTCTGAAGTAAAGTTGTATCCCTTTGAGTTAGCTTTCCAACGCATCTTGAATCGCCTCAATTGGATATCAGGAGATAAAGTTATGCTAAAAATACTGGAAAATGTGCGTTCTGTCTGTTCGAAAAGTGGCGCCACGGCGCCACCCCATGGCGCTGTAGCACCACCACCTATTTTTTGATGCGGCATCCAGGCGCTGTAGCGCCACCAATCCGTAATCTTAGCAGAATTTTGGCCCATTTTGAAGTCCATATGAAAACCCTATTCTTCATACACGGAAGGGGAACTATAAATACGAAAATTCTTACACTTTAAGGGGTTCCACACATTAAAAGGCAAGAAACACATCTTGGGAGAAAAATGAAGAGATTCAAAGGGAGAAAACAACGAAAAATTCATTGTGTGAAGTGTCAATTGGAAGAGGAAGGAATTCTTTGTGCAAAATCTACCTTTTCTTCTACATATTTAATTCTAAATCCGTTGATGTACTCTAAGACAATTTGTTATTTCTCTTATTTCATTATACGTAACTAAATCATTTGTTAAGGCAAACATTGTACCCTATTTGGGACCCTTTATTTATTTTATTTGAGATTCTTGTTCGTTATGAGTATATGTGTGGGCTTTAATCATGTTTTTAATGCTTTGAATTTCCTAGTCAATTATTCAATGATTTCATGAACAATAATTGCGTAGAGATACAAATTTTTGTCTATACCACATATTAAAATTCGGTAAATTAATATAACGTGTAAAGATGCCTATATTAATTGCTACGGTCCTATATGAATTCTTAGAACTATTATTTCGTTTAAATAATGTTGATTTGCATAGAAATATGGAATTGAATTATTTAAATAGGCTCAATGAGAACCCAAGAGGGGTAAATTGAATACCGTAGAAGAATTCGACTGAACACCGCTTTAGATTTTATGAATCTTGATATTAGAATAGGTAATGTTGTTCCGCCTTAGTACCCATTTATTATTTGAATTCTCACTCATTTTCTATTGCACTCACGAACTTTTAAGTTGTTAGAATAAAAATCACTTTTAATCATTGGTCTCATTTATTTTCATCAAATAGAAGTTAGAAATAATAAATTGAGTATTGAAGTATAGTCCTCGTGGGAACTATAATTCGGATTCCAAAAGTTCCACTTTACCACTTGTTACAATCCGTCCACTTGCGGGATAAAATCGACTGCACAAGATGTAAAGAAGGGTAAGCTTGTGCTTTCACTAGAACGTGGGTTGGAAAGTTACTGAGAGCTTCTTTTTAAGTAGCTTTCCCGGCCTAGGGATCTGGTTTTTAGATGGGAAGCCTACCAACTAGCTTAAGGGGGCAAGATCGACAAGTTTTTAGTGCCGTTGTCAGAGACTATTTTCTTTAATACTGGTTTATTTATTTCTTACTTCTGTTTGATTTTTATCTTCTTCTTTTTTTGTTCAATTGATCTACTTGTTTATTTTTGCTCCATTAACAGGAAATAAGAAGAAGCAAGATGTCAAATTTCATAATGATTAATTCTGACTTGTATGAAGATGACATGCTCTTTGGAGAATTCCTAATCAGATAAGAATTTAAAAGGTGGGGATATGATTAGCCTATTGAATTTGGTAAGGATGGTTGACCAAAGGGATTAAACATCAAATCAATTGTTTATCCAGAGATCAGACTGACATGTGAATACTGTGGTGCATCTCATTATACTAAAAATTGCTCGTATTTGGCAACTCCCATGGAAGTGAGAGAATGTTATCCATATGAAGAATATTTTGATTACAATGAAATAATGACTGGAGACATCATCATGCAAAGATGTAAAAAGATTGAAGATCAAATAATTCTGAACGAGCCAAATAACTTGCCAACGGATCTCTTCATCATACAATCCGAGGAACTAACTACTAAAGATATAGAACATGTAAAAATCGAGGAATTAGTCACGAAGGAGCCAGATGAATTAGTTGCATTCAATGAAGATGGGATCAGCGTGTAAACATCGAACTTCATTGAATTTATGATTAAAGATGATGAA